GTGACTATCTTTAAGAAGAAACTAGGTGCTTTTATGGACAAGCAAGAAGGGGGGCAATGTTGACTTACAGGACTAGGCAATAAGCAAATAGGATATGCTAAAAAAATAACAAAACTCACAAAAATGACAAAATTTATTTCGCTTTTTGAGGAGTAGGGCGACCCTAAATTTAAGGAACGTTTGATCTCGACACGTGGTATCTCAATGGGTGTCATCGCCTATTGATACCACTAAACAACCTTGAAACTTGAACCTTGAGAGTAAACTAGGCAGTGAGAGCATCAACACGAAACGGCACCGATACGGAATAACCTCGACAAACTGCATACAGGAACTATACCGATAGAAATAGACACAGGCGTGACGATGGCTTATTTAGGATTTAGGCCGACCAGGAATAGCGATAGCAAGAAAATACTGATAAGGAATTACACTGACAATAGGAAAGACCCGGAAATACATAGAGGAACTGCGGGTTAGCAGGGGAGGGGTCAAAGTGGATTCCATAGAATCAGATATTACCAATGGCTTCGTCCATAGATAACCTGGTCCCCATAGATCATTCCTTGACGAAGGTGATCTTGTTACGCGCGATTATCGTCTGGAAATTGTTGCCCTTCAGATGTTTTTTTCTCATTCAGAGAGTTTCGTTCATGTGGGTGCCGATTCAGAATGGGCTGGGTGGAACGTGGAAGAGGGATGGGGAATATTCACATCTGCATCGTGTTCGATAAAAGAGTTCCTGTCCACAAATTAACAATGAAGTAAAATTATAACTCGGAAGCTCCCATGTCTGGAGCGTGGTCAAATGGGAAGTCCCCCTCCGCAATGCTTTAGTTCCGATCCTTATCCGGATCTCGAGTCTCTTTTGCATCTGGTGGTCTCCCCTCCCTCAAACTCTTCGCTGTGTCTCTGTATGTAATGATCATCAGAGGATACATCCTTGATCATGAAGGCACGTTGCCCGAAAAATCGTCTCATACTGTACTCAAAGGAGATTTACAACCAAGCAGGGCTTTGCTCAGCTATAGGTTGACTAGAGTTAGTTCCATTCCTCAGTGAGAAAGGCTTCTCCGATTACGACTTTTCAGGGATAAAACCAAGCAGGTACTTTCTAGATGCAGAAAAGGAGAACCTCTTCTGACGACAGGAGAAGATAGGGAGAAGAGAGAGAGAAACACGTGCTTATCGCGCGTTGACCTTCGAGATAGGAATGGAATAGGGCAAGATGGGGCATGACCTGTCTTGCCGTTTGTGGGAGCTGTAAAGCTATCTTAACCCTTTCGCTCACCTCGCGTTCAATTGCGGACAGGGCACTGATAAGGAGTCTAAAGCATTTATTGCCGAGGAACAATTTGCAAAGGCTTATTTGCATACTGAGTGACATGAGTGCTATTATGCAAAAAATAAGCTAGAACAAGAAAAAATTAAGTACTGAAAGAGTTTATATACTTAGTATATTTTAGGGATAGGTTTCACAAATTGCTATATAATTGTTGGAAGTAATGGTAACTACATATGAATTTATCAAGAAACTCGTTATATCTAAAAGCTCATTCTGGAGAATATGATTATATTTTTTTGCAAAAAAAGTTTTTTTTTCTTCTATTGATACTTATACGCAGCTGTTGAAAAACTTTGAGCAACTGATGTAATTTAAGTGCTCCTCCATGAAGATAAAATTGTTCGAAGCAAAATTATCATCTTGCTAACTCTCATCAACGAATGTCATCATTATCTCAATCATTTGGAACAACTGCGGAACAGTTGGAAATTAAGTTATTTGTTAGCGGCCAGTAGTCATGGGCAAGACGAAGACGGTGAGCGAGGAGCAGAAGCAGAAGATCCAGGAAGCGATGGAGCTGCTGGACAAGTTCATCGAGACATCCGGAGGATACGTGGCCGGGAAGCACCTCACCCTCGCCGACTACGCCCTCATCGTCATTGCCGCTTCGCTCCAGGTAGGCTCGCCGAGAAGTCCCGTCCGCGAGTGTCGCGGGATGGCTCTGGAAAATGAGCGCTTCTCGCCAAGATTGAGTTTAAATCACTTGACGCCGTTTGACCCGTCGAATGAATACCATTGGTCAATTTTTGACACGATCGTAGAGTAAATCTGCCGTTTCGTTCCTGACACCCTTATCGTAGTTGTACTTGGTACACGTAGAAGGTAAAAATATGCACACCTGCTCAAAATAGATTACGTTCATGAAAATTCCATGAATTCAAACTTCGACAAAATGTATCCCCTGGCTCAACTTTTCGTTTTTAAATATAGTATTTCCCTCGACGATATGAAGAAGGGCGAAGCATCATTATGACGGCGTTCTAGTCTTTTTCCACTTAACAAAAACTGCCAGGTCCGTCACTTAAGCACAAGCATGAATTTGCATCCCCACAAATCATGAAGTGGCGTACAGTGTAACCTCTTGATAAATTTATTCTGGTTAAAAAGCCGACCATATAGAGTACACTACCATATAGACATGCTTGACACAGCAAATTCAATATGATGAATATATAGTGGCAATTATTTTACATAGCATAAATACACTCTATTGCCATGCATGGTAAGTTGTAACCACTAGCTATGATAAATTATGATATGCGGTCCAAGACTCTCCAATTGCAAAAGTTGTAAATCACCAGTAAATCAGTATATGCAAAAATTTGTCAGTGATCGATTAAATGAAATTTTTGCGATGTGCAATCTATTTAGTATTGGGTATTATTCTGCATCCCATTTGAATGTGTTCGCAACAACGAAAATTCGAACGGAAAGAGTAGCTCTGAAATTCCGCGGTTTACGCACTCAAGTATTAGAAACCTGGGAACGTCGAGGTGGATTCGCAGCCCCTCAATCATAATATACTCTCAGATTTCCGTTCGCGTATGCAAAAGAAAATCGAGTGGAAATTCGCACTATCAACATACCGTAATGGAGTGTTCCCTCTCTATTACCCTTACGTTTGTGCGCAGAAGTTACCTGAATTTATTTGAGCCTTATCCGCCCCTGGTCGAAGTCGAAAAATGGTTTAATGCTTTCTTCATACGGCAGGCGACAGGATTGGGAGACCCAAGCAAGTACAAGCACATTCAATCATGGATGGGGAAGTGCAAGAAGGAGATGAAAGGCTACGAGGAGATCAATGTGGAGGGGGCGAAGCAGATGGCTCAGTTCTTTCAGAGCAAGCTCAGCGACGCCAGTACGACCTAAGTGCGAATCCCGAAGAGCGAGCACCGAATAAAATCTTGCAGAAGAGAAATGGACTCTTGAATTGACACGCGAATGAAAGGTGGCTGTTCAACAGCGAACCCAGCTTCCCCAGCAGGCGGGATGATTCAGGCAAGGCTGCCGCAAGGAGGAAAAGTTTCTTTGAAGGTTTTGGGAGAATTTTATGTGAATATAGCTGAAATTTTAATGGTAAATTTTTACGTTTGTATGAGGCTATAAAGAGGCGATGTTACGCACGACTTCTGTTCGCGAAATGAAAGGAACCGTGAAAATATCGCTACATTCCGCGATACTTTCTGGTATATCTAAGATTTAAACAAGGCTTGTTGCTTTTCGCTATGTTCTATCATGATTCGGCTAGTCACTCCAAAACTGCACCAAAGAGAAACCACTTCACTTCAGCTAATTCAATCATAATAATGGGAAATTAGCACCTCTCCAGGATCTCACCATGAATTATGTTCCAAGAATGTTTCGTTTACATTATTGATACCATAATGCGACTCATCGTGTATGGCTCGTGCATTCGTTGGCAAAAACATGCAGAGGATTTTCCTCGTCGATGGCTTTCCAATGACGCCCTGTCTTCAAAAGCTTGTATTTTCGCAATAAAACTCGCAATGGGCAAATATCAAGTAGGTGACGGTGCTGCAGAGATAGCCTTAATCATGAATAGAAGTAGTTGAAACATCTACAGTAAGCGGGAAGTGAGAGAAAAGTCGCGTTCACTCCAACCCGTCCGAATGAGGCTCCTGAAAGATGCCGAGATGCAAGGACGTAGAAATCGGGGGGAGGGGGGACAGGGGTGGCAAATGTGAGGGTGGTCACTTTCTAAATTTAGAAATAATGTGTTACACCGGCACGTTGCGACTTAAGATTCTTCGTGGCATTTATTAGTAGTTTGGAAAGTAAATTTAGTTTGAAGCAAGGTTAATGCCTGAGGTGTGGCGTGGTAGGGTCAATCAGACAATGAACTTCAAGCAAGAACGAGTTGCTTCGGCTTCAGGAACCTAGTTGAGTTTCTAAAGTCTTATTACGAATGATCACACTAACCCCAATCACACTCAAATTTTACGGGGTGAATGTGATTAGTCTTCCTGCGCCCAAACTTATCATGAATGGAACACTGAAAGGCCCTATTTAGAAAGAGTATGGAATCTACTTTGCCATGATACAAAAAATGTAATTTAATTGTGCAGTACTGATCGTACAGGGAAAGTTGAATGAGGTGTGCCGAATTAAGTATTAGAGTTGAAAGAGGGTACTTTTATATTCAGAGAAATATCTCAGTTGAACCAGCGAAACTCGACTAGATAAACAAACCTGGATTAACATGACAGAGTACTTCTTAATACATACTTCGTTGATGGCATATTGCACTTGTACCAAAAATTAGGACTGATCACACTTACCCCGAATGAACTTATCTCAGATAGTTTTCCGAATTTTATTCGGCATGACTGATGCATGGAAGCAGTAAATGCCAGATTGTAATATTCAACAATCGCAGTTTTTTTTTCCTAAAATGAAATGCAATATATCTAATATATTGTGAGTCTGTGTTGCGTGGTATTCATGAAGTGGAGAGCTAGTTTATGACAGAAAAGTGGAAGGGAGAAAAATTCGATTCCCCGTGATGGGAGAATTCCAATGAAAATTTGTCTCCGGAATAGGACAAAAAGCGTGGAAGGAAACGTAAAAATCGACAATACCTGCCTCGTAGCCCATTCTTTTTCACGACACTATAGGTAATGACAAACGTGAGAGAATGCCATATTTTTTTATTAGCGCTCACAGACAGCACGACAAAAAGCAGAGGGCATCAATCAGACATCTTGCTGCGAAGATAGTGGCCAAACACTTCGGCTCCCCTTCCGTTGGCCTCCTCGTAGCCAGGCATTTCGGTCTTGCATTTAGCCAGCCATGCACTCAGGTGCTTCATCTCGGACAGGTCCAGGACTCCAACCGCCTTCGACCGTGACCTTCATCTCAACTCAGATCCAATCGATCGAGCCTATTGTTAACGAGTGATGCCCTCACCTCGATGCTGGAGATGACTGAAATGATGGAAATATCCGCAAGAGTGAGGTGCTTCCCGGCGCAATACCCGCCGGACGCCTCGATGTATCCATCCAGGATCTCCAAGGCCTCCTTCAGATTCTTCTTGTCTTCTTCCGAGATCGACGTCGCATTCCCAAACACGATCGGCCGCTAGTGTGAAAATCGAACGTGCCTTTAAAAAGGAAGCATTTTTTTGGATCCAATATTCACTTCGATGATGCTGACCGAACAGGCTGCCGCCTTCGCGGCAAGAGTCCCGATGTCGAAATCCAGGCGTTGATCGACGATGGCTCGGGCTTTAGGGTCCTTGGGGTACAGGTGCTCGTCCTTCTCCTTCCCGTAGGCGTTGAACAGGTATCGCAAAATCGCCCGGCTGGTCACGGAGGAAAGATATGTGAATGCGATGAGAAACAAAAGGGGAGAGGGGAAGTTGAATGGTTTCAGGGCAATCTTGGCGATTACCGAAATCTAAACTTGATATAAATTAGAATAAATTGCGTTTCTTGCGTTTGTATTATTTCTGGGACAGACAAAGGACGAAAGTTCTCAGTGTAAGAAGTATTGAACGATAGGAAACAAAATAGGGAAATAATAGAAACGAAGTGGATCATCCTCGACTTCACTTACCTTTCGTAGAGCGCGAATCCATCGTCGTTGATAGTGGGGATGGTATGCAGAGGATTCATCTAAAGGAAATAATCAGGATCGATGTGAACATCTGGCATTACGAGTTGGTACTAAGAACCTGATGAAACCAGAGTACCTTGTGATATTCGGGAGTCCGAGTGGCACCAGTGATCGGGCTGGTCTCGATCAGATTGAACTCCAATCCCAAGGCCTTCCCCAGCAAGAGCACGCTCCTGCTCGGGGGGCTCCCAAGCACGCAATACAGGTCGATCGGCATCTGCAATCCGTTGGGAACGAACGCCTGCACGAGTGACGCGTAATGCTTGCCAGAGGTCATGACCAAAAATTTCCGCACGAGCAATATCCGAATAACGTAGGTTCGATCGAAAAAAAAGATAAGTTTGCAAGATGGAGAAAAGCCTCGGTTAGACCTGGAAGGGCAACCGGTCCAGACTAGACGATGTAGGCTCGCTTGATTACACTCGAGTCGCGTGGATCGTGCACCACCGGTCGATTACGGTAATTTTCACGTCAGATCGGGAGCATCTGCCGAAAAAGTCGGTTCTTAGGTCTAACACGAAAGGAGGAACGACATGAAGAACCGAGGTACTCAAAAGAATGAACCAAAGGAGAGTACTGGAAAAGCAAAAAAGGACCAGACCGTCAGGCTCTGCACCTCCTGACCAAAAATGATCGCTTATAAATGATCGTTCAAAAATGAAAGGCATGCAATCCGGCTCAAGCACAAACAGCACCTTCGGGCTGAAATGAAATATCGTTGCGGGCAACTCTAGGATCCCAAGATGACTAGCTCAAGCCGGTCTCGGTAACGTTAAGCCTACAATGCAAATGTGACATCATCCAGGCTGAGGGGAGTCCAAGTCTAAGGCTAGCAGGCTAGATGGGATCCGGTTGCGTCTCGGTCAAGGGGATGGCAGAGAAAAAAGGGGATCCTAAGTCTTCGGCGGAATAACTTATCATGGCAATGCCGTTGGCACATTCAAAAACTCATTCTGAACACTCAATGTCGATCACGACTAAGTCACCAAGAACCGATGCCAGACCCACGCATCTTGGCTGCTTGACATCTCAGCTCATCGCAAGACAACGAAACTCTCGTTCCAGCAAAGACCCTAAAAGTAATCGTATTGGTACCTGCTGTCGACTTGCTTTACGATCGCTTTACAAATCATGATGGAGTCGAAACGACGAAATTCATGATGCATCCGGAGAAAATTTTCAGGTTAGGTCAAGATAAGGCTCCATTGGATTGCTGAGAAATTGAACACAACATATTTGTCTTTTGATACACCCAAAATATAACTTTCAATTGAAATTATCCTGGCGTCTCATGTCACGTCATTTCCGTGACTTCTGCCACGTCGCAAACCGAATCCCATCTTTCGAATTGCCTGTTTATGGCATCTTATAAGAATTGTGACACCGTCCTCAAAGATGCACATATAAGTAAAGTCAAATTAAGACTTTTAGATTTTCACATTAACCCTGTGACTATCAGAACCCGGATGGTCATATGTTAACTCTTTGTTTCATCTCTTCATTCCCAAAGAATCACTTCAAAATACTTTGTCTAAATACTCTCACATGTCTTCATAAAAATAAACGGAGTATTCGACTTTTCAAGTTTACAGCAGAACCAGCACAAATGGCTAAACTCGAGTATCAGGGCCCAATGGACCCAGAACGGTAGTTACAGGGTTATAGGAGCGCCACTACACACATTTAAACATATGGATGGCATCGTAACAGCGACCTTCAACGTGAGATAAGATTTACGAAAATATACAGGGTATGTCCGGAAAGTAATGCAATTTTTTTTGGGCGGGTAGTAAAAATGGCCGCACAGCGTTCCGGCCGGTTGGATTAGGTGGGGGGGGCTTTCAGCTTTAAAGCGATACCTGCACCAGTCTGCTCCGAGCAGTTGGAGCTCCAGGATCGCTGTTCCCGTGCATCCCTGTTTAGTACGTGTGTCACGAAACGCGATGGAATCGTCACTCGAGCAACGTTACTCGATAAAGTTTTGTTCACTATTGAACAAATCTCTTGCGGAGACTTACCAAATGATTAAGCAAGCTTACGGGGACAATGCTCTTTCGTATTCGCAAGTTTCGAGGTGGTTGAAAGCGTTCAAGGATGGTCGGGAAGAGGTTTCCGATGAACCCCGCAGTGGACGGCCGTCAACCAGCACAACCGACGACAATGTGGCCCGTGTGCGTGCTGAGCTGAATTCTGACCGTCGGTTAAGTGTTCGGATGATTGCAGACAACCTCAACAT